GCCCTTACTGTAATTGCCTCAGGCAGAAAACAGGTCTTTAAGTAAGGGCCTGCCATGTCCTCAAGAAAGGTAGCCAGTTTCTTGGCTAAAAGTCAAAATGTCCTTGGGCCTCTTAGCAACATACTCTGTTCCAAAAGGCCAAAAATATCTCTTTAGGTTTTATAGTCATATAGTGTATTAGCAACACGTCTGTAAATAAGAGGTGTTGCACAAAGCTATCTACAGTATTATCATAGGAGAGATGTTTACACAAAGTATCAATGAGATAGAACGAAAGTCCCCACCCTACCCTTACCCCTACTCCAAGGTACTTTTTATTTTTTATTTTTCCACCTTTCCACAGTTGAAGTCTTTAGGTTTTATAGTCATATAGTGTATTAGCAACACGTCTGTAAATAAGAGGTGTTGCACAAAGCTATCTACAGTATTATCATAGGAGAGATGTTTACACAAAGTATCAATGAGATAGAACGAAAGTCCCCACCCTACCCTTACCCCTACTCCAAGGTACTTTTTATTTTTTATTTTTCCACCTTTCCACAGTTGAAGCTACCTGGGGTGCAGTGGTCGGACTGCTCACCCTTTTTTATCACGCTTAACCACTAGGGGGCAGCCGTCACCCTGGAGCACGGTCATGCTGCCCCAAACGCCTCACAGCCATTCCAGGGGGACTGCTCAGGACCAGGGCTACATCAGATGCCCTGTGATTCGTTCAGGAGACTTTGCTATGGCTGCAGCCGCTTCAGAGGCCTGCAACTCTTTCAAACGACTCCCTCCACTACCTCTGAAGCCACTTCAGGCGCTTCCTGAAAGTACCCAACACCAACCCCCACACCCCGTGCACTTGCACCCCCACTCATATGTGCCCACACACATGTGACAACACACACCCATGTACACACATAATACAAACATATACATGCAAAAAAAAATGGAGTTACAAAGGACTGGGGAGATAGCTCCATCAGTAAAAGACCCCCAGAGCCCCTGTATAAAACTGGGCTTGGTGGCACATGCTTGTAAATCCAGTGCTGGGGAGGTGGAGATAAAAAGATCCCTGGGGCTTGCTGGCCAGCCAGCCTCTCCTAATCAGTAAGCCCCAGGTCTCAGTAAATTCCTGATTTCAAAAAAACAAGGTGAGGGGCCTAGGTATATGACAACAGTTAAGAGCACCAGCTGCTCTTGCAGAGGGACCTAGTTTGAGTCCCAAAACCCACATGGTGGCTGACAACCATCTGGGGATCTGACACTCTCTTCTGACCTCCATTGGCATTGCCTGACACAGGTGCACTTACATACATGTAGGCAATACACTAATACACCTAAAATAAAAATAATAAATAAAACATTTAAAAAAAAATGAGGCCTGTTCCAATCTCCCTCTGCCATAGGGGCTGAGAACTCAGGGGATCACCTGAGAGTGCCTGGATCCTGCCCCTACATAGTGATAAGAGTTCCGCAATTTGGGAGTCTTTTAGATATACCCACTGAAGGGGTACCCCAATTGCCTCACCCTGTGTCCCTGTTCAGCATTGAAGAAGACAGAGTGATCTGCATCCCGATTCCCTATCTGCAAGTTGGGTAACCTTTTCAGAGGATGGTGTGATAAGAATAGGAGGTAGGAATTGGCTAGGCAGTTAGGGTAAAAAACCACAAAGAAAAGTAGCCAGTTTCTTGGCTAAAAGTCAAAATGTCCTTGGACCTCTTAGCAACATACTATGTTCCAAAGGCCAAAAATGTCAAAAGTGGCCTGGTGTGGTGGCGCACGCCTTTAATCCCAGCACTCGGGAGACAGAGACAGGCAGATCTCTGTGAGTTCAAGGCCAGCCTGGTCTACATAGTGAGTTCCAGGACAGCTGGGGCAACAGGGAGACCCTGCCTCAAAAAGACCAAAAAAAAAAAAATCAAAAATACATGGGAGCTCTTTTCTAAACCCTAAAAGATTTTAGGGTTACCTCTTCAGAGGGGGCAAATGTTAGAGTAGCAAAAAGCCCCATTAAAAGAAAGAAAGAAAGAAAAAGAAAGAATATATGGGAGGTTTTGGAGGGGAGGGAGTGGGCATGGATTTGATTAAAACACCTTATATGCATGTATAAAATTTCTCAATAAAGTTTTTAAAAAAGTTTAAAACAAAAACAAGGTGAGGCCAGGTGTAGTGGCCCACACCTTTAATCTCAGTACTCTGGTGGCAGAAACAGGCAGATCTCTGTGACTTTGAGGCCAGCTTGATCTACACAGAGGCCTACAAAGTGAAATCTTGCCTCAAAATAAAAAACAATGAAACCAAACCAAACCAAGCCAAAGCAAAACAAAACAAAACAAAACAAAACAAAACAAAACAAAACAAAACAATGGGCCAGGCATGGTGGCCTACACCTTCATTCCCAGTACTCAGGAAGGGGAGGCAGGTGGATTTCTGTGAGTTTGAGGCCAGACTGATCTACAAAGCAAGTTCTAGGCCAGCCACGGCTACATATAATGAGACCCTGTTAAAACAACAACAACAACAACAACAACAACAAACCCCAAAACATTTTAGTGGGTTTTGTCTGTGATGGAGCATGGGTTGGCAGGGACTAAAGTGGGGAAAAAAATGGTTATATCTACATTCAGGATATAACTAGGAGTTTGGGTTGCAGATAGGAAGGGGCTTGCCATTCTTGTAGTATGTGCAACTTTTTCTAATACTGTGCATAGAGGCTTTATTCCTCATTAACTATCTTTAGTAGACTGTGGTGCTTTTTAGTTTCTTCTGTTCTCTCTGTTGACATAATGTGACACAAAACTTAAGAGAATGGGTTTAGTACCAGACTATCTACCTGCCTCAGTGAGCAACTGTAGAGAAGCAGGTAAAAAAAAGTAACACAAAACTATATGAAAATTAGGTGAATTACCAGATAGTTAGCACTGAGTTTGATGTCTTGCTTAGAGCAAAATAAATCACAGCTATCATAAAAATTACCTTCCCTTTTAAAAAGTGTGCTGAAAAATGGAAATGAAGTTTGCAATAGACTGTAAACAAATAAGGCTTATTGCATCTATTAGTAATTTCTCTAAAGCAAGAAGCTGAGTTAGTGACCTTTGTGTCTTGAGCAGGTATACAGACTCATAAGTTTAAAAAAATTTTTACTATTTTTATTTTATGTGTATGAGTGTATTGTCTGCATGTATGTAAATAACTCATGTTGCACAATGCCTACAGAGGTCAGAAAAGGGCATAGGATCACCTGGAACTGGAGGTATAGTACAGATGATTGTTAGCCACCATGTTGGTGCTGGGTCCTCTGCAAGAGCACCCAGTGCTATTAACTGCTGAGCCATCTGTCCAGTCCCTAGACTCATAAATTGTAAGGTGAGTTATAGCAGTATGTGGCTTAGAATAGTGTGGGCAAAGTAAATATCTCTTCTGCAGAAAGACCATGGCATAAAGAGCTCAGAATGTTACTAGACACTCAGCAAAGCACTCCTTAACCTTTCTTTGTGAAAATTTGAGGTTTTCTCCAAGTGACAGTTACACTTTGGGAAGCCAAGGCACAACAGTTGACAGAAACAGCTAAAATACGTTTATACTCCCCCAGTGTTGCTGAAGATTGGTTTTTAAAATATTTTTCTAAGCTCTAAATGTGAACTGCAAAATATCTGGCTGAATGATTCTTTTGTTTCAGGTTGCATAAGGATAGTTCCTCATGGGGCTGGAGAGATGGCTCATTGATTAAGAGCCCTTAATCTTGGGCTACTCTTGCAAGGATTTGGGCTTCATTCCCAGCACACACATGGTGGCTAGCACCCACCCTTATGGTTAGTGAAGCACTTGGTCCAATTAGTCCAAGAAAAGTGTAGATCAAATGTTGACAGACAGCTAAACTTCTGCTGGTGATACCTGTTTCTATAAACTGCAATGACCATTTGACTGACTCTTAGCCCAATTAACCTGGCTTAGCAGTAGATCAAAGGCACAGATGTCCTGACCCATGTCTGGGATATGTACTTTGTAAGCTATGATGACCTGGTGAACTCAGAAAGGAATTTTTCCTATGATAACATGACCCATCATGAAGAGAGACCTAGGGCCCATCCAAAAAATGATGCTGTGAAAGACCAATATAAGCCCCAATTGTACTTCTTTCTGTTCCAGGCCCAGACGATCTTTAAGTCTTGGTTGCTAATTCCAGGACACATGCTTGTGGAAGAATAAACAAGCTTTCTGGTTCGCCTGGGTGAGAATTTTTTTGTAACACCAGTGCCCTCGTCTGGCTTCTTCCAGTATTGCATGACATATATGCTCTTAGACATGTGCACTTAAATAAATCCATACATAAAAAAAAGAAAAAAAGAAAAAAAAAGAATAGTCTCTTAGGTCTGGAGATGTAGCTCAGTTGGTAGAGTGCTTGTTTAGCTTGTATGAAGTCCTGTGTTTGAGTCCCAGCACTGCATTGGTTGATTGCTCACACCTGTAATCCCAGCACTTTTTTGAGACGGGGTCTCCCTATAGCCCCACCTGGCCTGGAACTCACTATACATAGTGAGTGTAGTCTACAGACCAGGCTGGCCTTGAACTCACAGAGGTCTGCCTGCCTCTGCCTCCCAAGTGCTCGGACTACAGGCGTGCGCCACCACGGTCCGCTGCATAATCCCAGCACTTGTACTGGTGGAGGAAGGATGATCAGCGTTCAAGGTCATAACTGGCTACGTAGGGAGTTAATGTCAGCCATGTCTACATGAAGCTGTGATTTGCAAGAGGAAAAGCCTTTTTCAAACGTAAAACTTTTATTTCCCACTCTATGCTCTGAGAGCGCCAGGCGATAGAGATGAGACAGAGGTGCATAGGATCAGCAAAGACACAACTCAGGCGACCAAGCGACCTATCGGTCGTCCTGCTTCTGCCTGCCGGTTGCTAGGAGTTACGAAGAGCATGCGTACTTGGGACAGCCGCGGCGCATGCTGGGACTCCGCGCGGCGTCTGCCGGTTGCTAGGAATCGAGGACGCCCCGCCCCCTGGAAGCCGAGGCGCTGCGGGTGGCGAGCTGTGCCCGGCTCTCGCGGGTCTGTCTGCTCCGGGTGGCCCCTGCTTGCCGGGCCGAGAACACGCGGCTGCCCGGGGCTCGAGGAGTGATGGAACCTGGAAAGGTTGGTTCGCCGCGGGGCTGCGTCCACCTCCGGGTCGGGATGGCCCAGTTTCCCCACTCGCTCGCGGCCGCCGGGGAAAGCCAGCTCGGGCCTGCCCAGCTCGTTCGGAGCCGCGCTGCTCGCTCGGCGGGAGGCGGGGTTTCGGGCGACGTCTTGCTTCTTTACTCCGGGTGCGGTTTCTGGAAGAGTTTCTGTGCTCGTCCAGGGACAGGCATGGCTGAGCGGCTCCTTAAGGGAAGCCTAGGACGCCTGGGCTTGAGGTACCCCGCGATGGAGAATGTTCATCTCTATAGATAGTTTTAAAACGGGGAAAATGCTGAATGGTACAAAACTTGAGTCTCCTGAAAGTAGAAGGTTGATGACTCTTAACTCTCTTAGTTCTTTTGGTGGTTAGCTTGTTGTCCAAATATTATGCTGTTTCCCTTATGATTCCATTACCTAGCTCAGCGGTAGGACCTGAGTGTGGATTCCCAGCATCTATGTAAATAACAAAACAAGACAAAACAAAAGAAAAAACTTGGGTGTTGTGGCTTGTATCAGTAACTCAACGCTGGAAGGAGTGGATCCCAGGGGCTTTACTGGCCAGCCAGTCTAGCTGAAATGGTAAGTTCCATGTCTAGTGAGAGATCTTCAACAAAATGAGATGAACGAGCAGTCGAGGAAGGCATACTGATGGCAGTGTTTGGTCTTCACACATGCCCACGTGGGCAGGAACACCTGCATTCAGATGTGCAACACACACATACAGACACACAGACACGCTGAACACAGGCTAAACAGCCTGCTTCTATTAACAGTGCACCGTCACAGGTGACCTTTATGGAACTGGAAACTGCTTGTACTAATTACAGTAGTAGCTCACACAATAAAAGGACTGTTGTACTAGCCGCAGGCCTTCTACTTGATTACTATAGGAAGTGCTCTCCCTTCGGTCTGGATGGAAAAGACTAAGTTCTCAAAGCCCTGTGATGACTAAAAGGCCTGTGTAAGCCGTTTGAAATAGTCATGACTGAGGAGTTAGCCAGCAGCTTTGGTTGCTGTGTCGCTTCCTCTGGGGTGTTCGTGGAGTGTTCAGTGTGGCTGGTGCTAGCCTAAGAAGAGTTTGTTTGGCTGCTTGGCAGATAATCCTTCCTTCAAAGCTGCTAGGACACTAGGGAATGCTTTTTAACAGCTGTCAATTAGCTATCAAATACCCCCTTTTATCTTAGCTTATATAAAGGAAAAATGAATATTAATTAGTGCTTATTATAAGGCTTATTAACATTAATAATGGGTCAATAATATTTAGGACTCTTGCACTAATGTCCCTGTGAGAGGTAGATCCCTTTAATTTGTCTAGCTGGGGTTACAGCCCATGGCCTTGCACATGCTAGGCTAAAACTGTACCACTGAGCTACGTCCTCAGGCCTCATGCATATTTAACGAATTTTTGTTTTGGTCTTTTTGAGACAGGGTCTCCCTGTAGCCCCAGCTGCCCTGGAACTCACTATATAGACCAGGCTGGCCTTGAACTCACAGAGATCCACCTGTCTCTGCCTCCTAAGTGCTGGGATTAAAGGCATGTGCTACCATGCCTGGCCCCCAACTTGATTCTTTTAAATGTTTCTTAATGTGTAATTGACTAGATAAGCTAGTATTTAGCTTTGACTTTTGGTGAGTGCTTACTAAGCTGAGAAGACCTCACCGTTGGCAAGCAGGAGAAACAACTCTTGGGAAGCCCTTCTGCACTGAGCAGTCTGGCTGTAGAAGTTGTAAGCAGGAGCAGGTTGGAGGGGGCCTGGTATCTTAGGTTTTTGGTGTGGGGTCTAAGAAGCCCTCATGTTCCCAGTGTGGGGAGATGTCACAGGAAGGCATATGCTTTGACTGTAGAGAAGCATGGCCTTGGAGAAGTGCTGCCCAGGAATATCTGACCATCTGGGATATCCTGTCCTGCAACAGAGTTCCAAAAAACCAGGCTGTGGTTTTACCTTGTCTGAGTCAGGTTCAAGAATTAATGGTAGGAGGCTGGGGAGATGCTCAGTCAGCAAAGTGATTTCTGTAAGCCTGAAGACCTGAGTTCAGATCCCCAGCACTCGTACAAACCAGGCACAGTGATACAGGTCTGTAACTCCAGTGCTGAGGATGTGGAAACAGAGAGATCTCTGGAGATCACTGGCCAGCTAGTTGAGCCAAATTGGTGAGCTCCAGATTTAGTGAGAGATTCTGTCTCAGAAAAATAAGGTGTAGAGTGAGGAAGACACCTAACGTCAACATGTGGCCTCCACATGCACTCCCACATACTTGTATATGCACCTGTATGGCATACGTGCACACACAGGTACACGCACACACGAATAAATGGAGGGTAGCTTTCAGGGTGCAGAGGGAAAACAATTCCTTTGTACACTCATAGCACACAGTGTTCTGTGGTTCCCAAGGCGGTGAACATTTCTTCCCACCAGCAAGCCAGTGACTGCTTCGTTGCATCAGGCATTTGAATCCAATTTAGTTCTCATGTTATACCATAGGGAGAGGGCTCAGCCCTGAAGTCTGCTCCCACTTAGGTTCAGTTGCCAAGAATTTCTGGTCTCTGGCTACAAATTGGGGTTCCCAGGACCTCTTTCATGAGTTAATTTGCTAGAGCAGCTCATAGAACTCAGGGAAACACTTTCATAGAGATGGTTTTTTGGGTTATTGTTAAAGGCTATCTAAAATTATACAAATAAGCATCTGGAAGAAGAGATACACAGGGATCTTTGTGGAAGATTGTCCAGTGAAGGAGCCTCTGTCCCTGGGGAGTTGGGGTGGCCACCCCAATGACACAAAGACAGGTTCTTATTCACCTTCCCGTAAGTCTCCATGGCATACACATGATTGAAACAGGGACAGCCAGATAGAAGGGTCATGAGTGAATGCTCAGTGATGGGAACCAGTAAGGTTCTCTTTCTAGATTCATCTTGGCTTCTCAGTACAGCAGTGTTTCCTCCTAGGTATAGGGCAAGACTCTGAACATGGAGGTTTCATGCGGGAGGCTCTCCCTCTCTTCGCGGGTCATTGGCCACCAGCCCATGAGGGCAGGGAGAGCAGAAGCGGCCAACGGGGTCAGGATGGCCAGTGAGCACTGACGGAGGACAGCCCTTCCGGGGAGACTGGTCGCAGGCACAGTGAAACAGCAGTGATACAGCTCCAGACAGTGAAACAGCTCTGTTTATTAGTGGGAGAACTAGAGAATTTATAGTGTGGAGGCAGTAGCAAAGCCTCAGTTGATAGGTGCTCATAGTATGCTTTATTTACATGTGGCAGTGGGCTCCTATCTTCCAGACTATCAGGCAATGCCTGATTATCATATAGAAAAAAGCTGGGGGTAGTTTTTACTCCAGGTAACTATGCCAAAGGTCATGTTTTAAATGAGGCCAAGCACAGACTCTGGGTGGTACTTTCCAGGTAAGTCAGGCAGGAAGCCCCTGCTGAGAAAGGAGCCAACCTTAACAGCAGGGTTCCCCAACAAACCTCAAACCAAATAAAAATCCCAGTATAAACATGGGCAAATGGGTAAGAATCTTCAACCTAACATAAGGTATTTTTGGCAACTGACGGCTGCTGGGAGACAGAGAAAAAGTCTACTTCAAGGATGGGACTTTCATTAGGACGAAGAAATTGTATGAAACAGGGAGCAAGCACCAAAATGACAGCATGACCAGGGGGCCAACAAAGGGTAGGAGCCATGAAAACAAGGGATTACTAAACCAACCTAATTGTTCAGTGGGTTGAAATCTTGAAAATAGATCATTACAAAGTTTTTTGAGAGTGTTAACATTGGTTTCAACAACATTTAATTCATTTACAAAAAAACAGCATTCCTCTCCCATTACCACACACATCCCCCCATGTTCAGCAGTTATTAAACCCAGTGCTCTTCTGTTTTGGAGCACAACCCCGGCAAGAGAGTTCATTTGTCATTGGAGAGATTCGAGGTTGTCAGTTGTGGATGCCATTGCCTGGCCCAGCTTGTCTCGAAAGTCTCCTGTGAAAGTCTCCCGCCAGGTGCTGGGTTTGTACAATAGCAGCAGTCGCAGCGCCTCCAGCACCCAGGGAGAGGGCAAGTCCAAGCCCTACTAGCAAAGGGATGGAGATTTCTCTCTGCTGGCGGCTGTGAAGGAGGAGGGCGGCTTCCTCTTTCTCGAGTAGGTACACCTGGGGTGTAATCATTACTGGTATACAAAAGGTGGACAAAAAGGAATTAACACAGTGTTGGGCTTTTCCTTTGCACCATAGGAAAAGAGGAGGGGTGACGCATGCTATCCTGGAGAGAGTAATGTTAGTGAGGCATTTGTAATGAGTAGGCTTACTCTTGCTGGAAATGCAAATTGGATAGTTAGCCAGTTGTTCGAATAAGGGAATACCCATCAGATGAGAGTCAGTGAAATCTTTTTTTGTTTCTGGGTAAAGAAGGGTGGTATTAACTGGTACTGCTGTCAGTAAAGGTGTGTTGCTGGATGCACAAAAGAAGCAGAGGAATTGGGGTGGGTGGTGAAGGGAAGAAAGTTAGCAACATATTGAATGTATTTGCTCCAGGACATAGTTGATCTTATCTGGTCCTCTGTTTGTTTTTCCTGTAGAATAATATTATGATGAGTTAGCACAGACTTAGCTGCAGGTACAAGCTGTCGAGAGATATGAAAGTCAGCTGTAGGGTACCTAGCGAATGCACCTGAGTAGAACTTTCCTATTACTCCAGTATGCCAGCGATCGTCCCATGGATCTGCAATATATATTAGGGAATAGTCATAGTTTCCATAGAGATACTTATTATCCTTTAGGTAGATGGGTCTTCTCTGTCCTGTTATGCCCTGATATCTCCCAGTGTATCCTTGTTCCAACCTACAGGGATTGAAATAGCGGCAGCCCCCATAGATATCAACTTCCTTGAGGCATGATGGATCTCTTTGTCGAAAAGGGAAGCAAACATATTTGTTAGTTCCATATTGGCTAGCATTTGGGTATATTATGATTCCTATGGG